AACGTCACATCAAGGTTGTTTGCATACTAGACTATTGACTAGACTTTAGACTAGACTATAGACTAGACTTTAGACTAGACTATAGACTAGACTATAGACTAGACTATAGACTAGACTATAGACTAGACTATAGACTAGACTATAGACTAGACTATAGACTAGACTATAGACTAGACTATAGACTAGACTATAGACTAGGCTATAGACTAGGCTATAGACTAGACTATAGATTAGACTATAGACTAGACTATAGACTAGACTATAGACTAGACTATAGACTAGACTATAGACTAGACTATAGACTAGACTATAAACTAGACTATAGACTAGGCTATAGACTAGACTATAGACTAGACTATAGACTAGACTATAGATTAGACTATAGACTAGACTATAGACTAGACTATAGACTAGACTATAGACTAGACTATAGACTAGACTATAGACTAGACTATAGACTAGACTATAACTAGACTATAGACTAGACTATAGACTAGACTAGACTAGACTAGACTATAGAATAGACTATAGACTAGACTATAGACTAGACTATAGACTAGACTATAGACTAGACTATAGACTAGACTATATACTAGACTATAGACTAGACTATAGACTATACTAGACTAGACTAGACTATAGACTAGACTATAGACTAGACTATAGACTAGACTATAGACTAGACTATAGACTAGACTATAGACTAGACTATAGACTAGACTATAGACTAGACTATAGACTAGACTATAGACTAGACTATAGACTAGACTATAGACTAGACTATAGACTAGACTATAGACTAGACTATAGACTAGACTATAGACTAGACTATAGACTAGACTATAGACTAGACTATAGACTAGACTATAGACTAGACTATAGACTAGACTATAGACTAGACTATAGACTAGACTATAGACTAGACTATAGACTAGACTATAAGACTAGACTATAGACTAGACTATAGACTAGACTATAGACTAGACTATAGACTAGACTATAGGACTAAGACTATAGGACTAGACTATAGACTAGGCTATAGGACTAGACTATAGACTAGACTATAGACTAGACTATAGACTAGGACTATAGACTAGACTATAGACTAGACTATAGACTAGACTATAGACTAGACTATAGACTAGACTATAGACTAGACTATAGACTAGACTATAGACTAGACTATAGACTAGACTATAGACTAGACTATAGAATAGACTATAAAATATAGACTAGACTATAAACTAGACTATAGAATAGACTATAAAATATAGACTAGACTATAAACTACAGACTATAGACTAATCTATTTTTCCCTCAATTACCATTCCAAAAATGTCACATTTTAGCGGAAAATGTCAAATTGGCAACAGTCGATATTGACAAAAATTTGCTGCAAAAGGCATTTTCTTTCAATTTAACATAAATTTATTCAAAACATTTTGTCAATAAGCGGAAGTGTTAAACTTAATAGAACCGCCCTTATATAAATATATTTACCAATATTGCCAAAACCAAGGTGAATGTACAATTATTTAGTTTTACCGGAGAAATTTACACATACTTGTGCTCTAACGTTCAAAAAAGTATTTTTTAAAATAAAAATGAAAACAAAAGATGTAAAAAAAGAATATTATTAAACATAAAAGAAAAGCAGCAGCAGCAAGTAAACAGCTTCATTACATTTATGGTTATAGTTGTCTGGTGTTAAAACGGTAAAAATGTGTCTTGAAGAAAGTTCAAACACAAGGAAAATACATATAACGTCTCAAACATACCTATAAACAGGATATTACTAACACACTACAGCAACTCTACTTCCGCTATTACTAACACTATAAAAAGGAACACAACACAACAACCTGATTGCTCGTTAGAGCAAACGTTGTCTAAGCTAAATTGCAGCTCTTGGTCTCTGCTGGTTTATAGATGTGTGTGTGTAGAAAAAAGAAAACAAAAAGCCAATAACGTTAATTTGTTAGACCATTTACAAAGAATTTACTTTTCACGGTATTTTAAAGCTGCAAACAAGCCAATTTTCTATGAATTTTTTATAAATAAAATTAAACGTTTATAGTGTTTGATTGCATAAAGTATGAAGCTCCTAACTCTTGCTGCTGTTGGCTTTTGCTCTTTTAGTTAAAAGGATAACAGTACTGGAACCTCAAAGGCTGCATAGAAAACTAAAAATAGTAATGAACCTTTATAAAATGCAAAAGGAGCAAAAGCAAAGCAACAGAAAAAAAAAAAAATGTCAATTGTAAAACTTTGAGTCTAGTGCTAGTAAAAAAAAGTCTCAAAGGAAAGCTTTAAAAACAAAGTTTGTTACAACCTCAATTGCTGCAAAGCAGCTTTGTATAGTTTGAAAACTGGTTTATAGTTTTTAGAAAAACCTAAAGAGGTTAAGTAATTTGTTTTAACTGTAAACAAATACTTTAAGTTAGTTAATATAAAGTTTAGAGAAACAAATGAAAGAAACTAAAAAAGTAGTAGATAATATACTACTAATTGCAAAGGTTCTTTTTTCTAATTGTATCCTTTTGTTGTTTAATTCATGAATAACGTTATGCAGCACCAAAAATTTAAAAATTTAAACTTTTTTAAAATAGTAGTATATCTACTACCATTTTTAAAATTGAGAAAAATTGTTTTAAATAACTCTAATTAAAACTAAATACCATCTAAACAAAATTTTTTAACTTTTACTACCTTTTTTACAATTTTAAAAATAGTAGTAGAAATACTACTTTTTTAAATGTGTTAACATATTACTTTTCTCTGCAAAATATATATGCTTAAAGTAGAGAATAAAAGTAATGAAAAATTTAAAAAAAATTATTAAATTTTTACGAAAAAAAATCTACTCCTTTTTTACAAAGAGTAGAAGATATTGAAAAATTTTGGTAATTTTTTGAAGAAAATTTTATTTTTTAATGTTAACCTTATAGATAAATATAATTAACCTTTTCGAACAAAAGAATTAAAATTTGACTACTTTTTAAAATAGTAGTATTTCTACTTCTATTTTTAAATTTGAATATTGAAAGCGCTTTGAAGATCACTTAGTCAAACTAAATACAATCTCAACAAAAATTTTCAACTTTGACTACTGTTTGTAAAAAAGGAGTAGATTACTTTCGCACAAAACGCAAATTTTTTAAAAATATCTTCCTGATTTTAAATATTTGCTTTGCAAATAACTATATTTAGCTCAAAAAGTAACATTTTAATACTTTTTGAAAAAAAGTAGTATTTCTACTACTATTTTTAAAATTTAAAAACTATAGTGTTTTCGAAATCTCTGATTAAAATTAAGTACAACCTCAATAAGAATTTTCAGATTTGACTACTTTTTGAAAAAAGTAGTAGATTTTTATGCACAAATAGCAATTTTTTAATAATTTAATATTGATTTTAAATATTTAATTTGTAAATAACTATATTCCGCTGAAAAAAAGTAAAATTTTACGACTTTTTGAAAAAAGTACTATTTCTACTACTTTTTTAAAAATTTAAAACTAATAGTGTTTTCAAAATATCTGATTAAAATTAAGTACATTTGCAATACCTATTTTAAAATTTTACTACTTTTTGTAAAAAAGTAGTAGATTTTTTCTTAAAAATTTGTGATTTTTGAAGAAAATTTTCTTTATTTTTCTTTCTTACTTTATAGAGAACTATATTCCACTGAAAAAATTCAAATTTTACTACTTGTTAAAAAAGTAGTATTTCTACTACTATTTTTAAAATTTAAAAGTAATTAGGTTTTCGAAATCTCTGATTCAAATTAAGTACAAATGCAAACAAAATTTTAAAATTTTACTACTTTTTGTAAAACAGTAGTAGATTTTCTCGTTAAAATTAAAAATTTCTGAAAAAATGTTTCTATATTTTTCTTGTTTACTTTATACATAACTAAATTCAACTGAGATATTTTATTTTTTACTACTTTTCAAAAAAGTAGTATTTCTACTACTATTTTTAAAATTCAAAACTAAATGGGTTTTCGAAATCTCTGATAAAAACTAAGTACATTTGCAATACAAAATTTAAAATTTTACTACTTTTTGTAAAATAGTTGTAGATTTTTTCGTTAAAATTTAGATTTTTTGAAGAAATTTTCTGTATTTTTCTTGTTTACTTTATAAATAACTATATTCCGGTGAAAAAAGTAAAATTTTATTACTTTTTTAAAAAAGTAGTATTTCTACTACTATTTTTAAAATTTAAAATTAATAGTGTTTTCGAAATCTCTGATTAAAATTAAGTACATTTGCAACAAAGTATTTCTAATTTTATTACTTTTTGTAAAATAGTAGTAGATATTTTCGTAAAAATTGGCAATTTTATAAGAAATTTTTGTTTATTTCTAAAGTTTGCTTAATAAACAACTATATTCCAATGAAAAAAGTAAAATTTTATTACTTTTTAAAAAGTAGTATTTCTACTACTATTTTTAAAGAAATTTAAAAATAACAAAAATTTACATTAAATCGGACAAGGATAAACACAATTTAGTTGAAAATTCATAAAATTTACTATTTTGAAGTACTTTTTATTGTTGTTTTAATTAACCCGCTTTTATGCCTAAAAGCTAGCAACATAATTTTAAGAATTTGCTGTGACAAAATATGCAAAAATCTGTTTTCTTTTCATATTCAAAATAGTAGTAACTTACGGATTACTAAGACGCTTTTGTTCTAAAGAATAAATTTGCGATTTTCTTTTCTAGTTTTAATTAAATAATTAAAAGTTTTGCTCCGAACACTTTTTCCTTAAAGGTTTTGCACGTTTTCTTGCATAATTTTAGGCGAGAAATTAATGTTTAAAGGTGATTATTACTTAAAATAGTTATCATAATGGAAAGAACAATAATTTAGTGAAGATTTTTGCATAACTATAAAAAAAACTTTTAGAGATCAATTTAGAGTAAAAAGTTAATACACACCCTATTTTTAGAGTTTCTTAACAATTTGTGTAAACAATTTTTGTTAACTCACCTTTAAATGAAATCCTGGACTCATCGAAGATCTGCAAGAAAGAAAAATTATTAAAATTAGTTTGTCTTTAAACAGAAGTTAGAAATCAATATTGTTCTCTATTTATACATTTTATAAAAAGTAGTATTTCTACTACTATTTTTTAAAATTAAATAATTACACTTAATTTTCTACATTTTATTTTTTTTTTTGGTTTCATTAAAATATTGAAAATTTTCATAATTTATTTTATTTTATAGTTTTTTTTTCTCCTCAAATATATTTATTTGTAATTTTTTGCCATCTTTATCATTACTATGTAACCTCTTGTGTATTTAGTGTTTTACAAACCAAGTTTTTGTGTTGTTGTTTTTTTTTGTAAGTATTTCAAGTGTTTCTGTCA